TGCAACTGCAACTTTCTGGGGGAGGCAGAGAAATTCGAAGGATATTCTGAACTGAAATCCTATTTTGTATTGTCCCAATATTTGAAAATGCCAAAGGTTATATTTTTTTACACCCAGCAGTTGTACGTTTTTGTTCCACCCTAGTCCACCTGGAAAAATATTGCCTTTCTGACCTGATCTGATGTCGTGAACTGATTTGTCATAAATGAAGAAAATAAGTGCTCTTAACTCTCTGGGTGTGTGTCAGATGACCAGGCTGTAACTGGAGAGTACTTTTTCCATCGGTGGCATTGGCCAGCCTATAAACTCCACGGGCATCTGTATCAGCTGCCTTGGAATTGCTTTTGATGTGATTAGGCTACTAATTAGCTGTCTCAATTTTCCTCTCCCTCCTGATGCTTTCTTTTGATTCGCTTTGACTCTGAGGAGCCTGTATTCTGTGCATGTGTGGTTTTTTGTTTCATCTAAAATCCCTAATGATAGCTTAAACTGTCCTCTTTTTGATGAGCATTTCCCTGTGTTTACATACATTTTTCTGTTAAATGCATACGTCGGGATTTTTCTTATATGAGTAGCTGTTATTTTGTAGAGGTATAAGCAACGTACTGTCAGTGGGCATACGTATCCATTTTAGGATTATACAGTCAGAATGTGCATATTTACTTCATCCAAAACCATCAGAATCACAGCAAATGTTTAGTATGTGAATATTCACCAGATAGTAACCACACAATTAAATAAGAGCAGAAGTGACTGTGTTAAGGCCCAGTTTGCAGTGACAGGGAAGCAGTGAAACGCGCTAATAGATTATATGCTATAGCAATATATTGCCTTTTTATTGCTTTTCCACAGGCAGCAGATTCATGTATAGTTATTACTAGCTACATTATCTGCTAGTTTTCTATCAAAAAAGATTCAGTGTATTGAATCATTAATCCAGTATTTATCATTCTTATTGAAAATCCACTAGTGTTAGTACTGTATGAAATATTGATTTAAATGTACCGGTTTTGCTAAAGATTAAAAACATATTAACCTAAAAAGCACAGTATTTTTTAGTACATTTGAAACTATTCATTGTGGATGCTTAAACTGACAGTATTTCTATGTTGTGGAAGGAATAAAAAAAAGTCTTCAACATACACTAAGTGACCAATGCCATCCTGATTTGAAGATGCTGAACATTCATCCAACTCATATTTGAAATTTCGATGTGTATTGCTGTTACTGACTATCAAGAATAAAATTTTTGCTCATACATAGTGTAAAATGGGATCTTTTGTAGCAGCACACGGCCTGTTTAGAATGATATAACAGGCGCTGAATGTTCACATATCAAACAAAATGCCATCTTTCTGTAGAAAAGAGGTGTCAAAAAGTTTCTTTGTACCTTTAACGCATGTGATTATGTAGTACAAAATGCAGAGTTTGTAAAATTTCTTGAATATACAGGCAAAAAATGAATAATTCAAAACAACTCATAAGTTCTACATTCTATTGTATCTTTTATAACGCAGGCAGAAGATAGCATTGTGTTCCCAGTAGAGCTGAATTTGCACAAGTTACACCTCTGAAAATGCCAGATGGTCTATGGTCTACTTTTGAGAGCTGTCACATATGTAAAGATTTGAAAAAAGAAAGACAGCTGAATGAGAGCAGTGGATCATTAAAGAGAGAGTGAGAGTCCCTGGGTATCACTGTGTTTTAAGAAGCATTGTGTCGTTCCCCATATTACACTTCTTTTTTTTAAGATAGACACAACCTTTAAAAAATAAGGTAAAAATATTTCGGTTTTAAACGGAGTGGTTGTGGCTTAATCGTGGAACTGTCAGTTGCTTTTGTTCTTTATACTAGAATGCGGTCATATGGTTCCTAATTGCTTTCAAGTGTTTTAACCATAAGATTCAAGTCTCCCTAATGCAAAATTATCAATAAAGTTAAAATAAATTTAAATTGAGATAACTAATTCATTTGGGATTTTGTTCCGTTCTGACTTGACCTGCATATCACATGTGAATACTGTAAAGTCAGTCAGCTAAAAAGTTGTGTGGTAATGAAAAAAGACAGAAGTAAGGGTACTTTGGGAACAGGATTATCAAAAAATAAAAAATAAAAAAGCACAACATCTCCCACCCCCCCAAAAAAAACCCTAACAACAAAAAACGACAACCTGCCCTCCTTAGTAAAAGAAATAATGAAAGCAAAGCCAACTAACTTCTTAGATTCCTATTCACCCAAAATTTGATAGAAAATCTCATCATTTTGTAGATTGAATTTGGGGTAGTTTCCTAAGTTAGTGCTTTATAATAGAGTACCAGAGGTACACAGACAGTTGCAAACTGCAGCCACCAATTTAGCTGGCTTGGAAAAGGTCATAACTGTCAGTTTTAGAAACTTGCATGTTTGCATGTCCAGGCATACAGAATTTTTAGTACTGTCTGTTGCTTGAATGTACTGAGGAAGGATAACCCCTCTGTATCATGTTCAGGCTATCAGTACCGCTCCACAGCTGAGAATCATAGGAAGTGCAGAATGAAGAAAGTGTCTTTGGATGGAACATGAAAAACGCTTTTCCTTAATAACATTTACATCTGAATGGGAAAATGAGAATAAAGCTATGAGGAGTTAGGAGCATGAACTAAACTTTAGAGAGTATTAATTTTGATTCCTGATGCTGCTACTGATTTCATTATTGACTCAAGTTAGGTCTGTGTTAAGATTTTTTTTAATGGAAGGAAAAGCTTTTTTTTGCGCATACATGGAAAATCCTACACAAAGGGTTCCTTGTATTATATTTGTAATGAATCTACTCCGGTTTCACAGTTGTCTTGGAAATCTTACGATAGTTTGGAAGTGTTAACAGAACATTCAACAGAGTTGAAAAGTTCCTTTGGGTATTCAAGAAATGTGTGGATGTAGTACTTAGGGACATGGTTAGTGGGCATGGTGGTGATGGGTTGGTGATTGGACTAAATGATCCTAGAGGTTTTTCCAACCATGATTCTATGATTCTATGCACTGATGCAAAGATATTTTCAGTGAAAGGAACAGCTGCTTCAATATTGCTATTGAAAATATTTTGGGACAAGTTAGTTCAAGCGCTCCTTGATAGCTTTGTGCTGCCGCTCTGGAGCAGTTACTGCTGGCAATGGAAGGGAGTCACCTTTGTCCCTGCTGCAGCTTTGGGGAGTCTACTAATATACATGTCTGCCCCAGCACTTCCTTTCTTTCCTGTAACATACAATTCTCACTTCTGTAAAGTAAGAGTACTGTTAGAGTTGCCTTGTCCTAGTCTGAAGTTGTCAGTGTGGATTGTCTTCTTAAAATTGGGCATGTTGTAGCTAGAAATATCCAACAAAAATAACCAATGGAAAGTAAAAAATCAACCTTTTTTTTTTTTTCTTCAAAATTTGAACTATTCTAAAAATATCCCTGCCTATGAGTGTGACCAAGACTTAGATTAAGACTTGTCTAAAGTTTAATCTGGTGAGTTGGTAATCATTTGAGGGAGCAATCTGATGATGGTATCGATATCCTTGATAAAAGTCCTCGAAACTTCGTTAGGCCTATTCAGAACTCAGAGTTCTTTTAAGGACTTTGTTGCTGTGCGTGTCCTTGTAGTATTTGTCTAAGTTTAGTCATATCAATCTGATCAATGAAGCTGTTTCTTTTAAAGGAAGTTAACTATAATTATCTACACATTTATATCTTATATGTAATCTACAAACAAAGCTACAATGTGAAATCAGAAAATTTATGTAAATCATTTGAAAAGAAAACGAACTGCAGTTCTGAGCACTGTTTTCCTTTACTATTGATTTTGTTTAATCTTGCTGCATTCAGAAGAATATGGGCTTTTTCTTCTGCATAAAATCTGAAAATGGTTGAAGATAGGCCTGCTTGAAAACCACTTTATGTCCAAGCATGATAAAGTAGTATTTTGATTAGGAGAGGTGATTGGGCTGATGCTTTTTGATTATGAAATCTTGTTGTGTTACTATCTGTATAGTTTAATTAGTTTCAGAAGCAAATTGGCTTTTTTAAATAAAAATCCTTAATTGGAAACTAGTGTTTTTATTACAAAGATTCACATTAAAAACTTATCTTCTCTTTTCTTTAGATATATAGACTTTAAATACATGAAGTATTTCCCGTATTATTAAAAATAGACTCCTTTATGATACTGTAGCTTAACAAGGAAAGGAATGATCAAGTTTCATGACCTCTCATTAGAATGATTTTATAACACATTCTCTTGGAGTCCTAACCAGGACGTTGCGGATTCCTACCTTGACAGATTTTGTATTTTTTTGTCTGACCATTTCATTTTGCTGTCATTAAAACCCTAACATGTCCATTATGGCCGTTTGTAACTTCATGATTGTGAAATACAGCGGGGGACTCTAGCCTGCCATGGCTTTGTGCTGTGTTCCCCCCACTTCCTGACAATTTTGAGTGTTTTTGTTCTTTCCAGCAATCCACGAGCTTAGTTTCTAACTAGTATTAATTACTTGAATATTCTTATTCATATCTAATATGCTGGTCTCTTGTGGCTGTCTTTGGGGGTGGCCTTCCCTTGTTGCTCTGGTTATTTTCTAGAGACTGGCAGGTTGCCCAGCCAGAAGTTTCACTTCTGTTACTGCAGACTCTACCTTCTCTTCCATACTTTTTTTTTTTCTTTTAATTTCTGTTTCCCTAATTCTTCTTTGGGCTCCCTTTAACTCAGTTTTCATTCTTTTTTAATCCCACTCTGGGCTTTTTCCTTCTTCCCGTCGCTTGCCTTGTTCTCTCTGCCTGATTCACAAAGAACCAAATACAAGTGCAGTGCTGAGCTAGATCTCATCTAGACATGAGTGAGGCACTTCATAAGTGTTTAATCATAATTATTGTTAATCTTTCTTGTTTTTTCTGGGGATGTTAATTTTTGCCCAGTCTAGCCTAAAGTATTCAGTGTTCAATTTACAGTTTTAATTAACACTTTCTTTCTCTTTCATTTTAAGCACAACCTCAACGTTTGCCTCAGCCAAATACTTCAGCACTGGAAAGGGGTGAGGAAGAAAGTGGCAAAGTGCAAAATGGCCACGCAGGCTTGAGTAATGGAAGTGGAATGCACAACGGAGTCAAGCATGCATCTGCAGACAACAGAAAACTTTCATCTCCTGTTTCAGAAAAAATGCACAGGAAAATTCAGTCCACCTTGTCTGTCAACAGCAATGGCAGCAAGAAGAGTAAAATAAGCTCTGCGTTTTCTCAAAAGCCTTCACCTGAAGGTAAGCAGAAATTCTTATTAAAAAAACAAATGGAATGAAGACTAGCCAAACCCTATTCTCACTAATAATTACACAATCAACTGAAAATAATTGAAGAGCATGACTCATGCTCCAGAAGCAAATAGAAATCATTATGATAAAAAGCAAGTTACTTCCCCAAAGGAAACTATTAAGTATTTGAAGGAAATTGAAGCAATGGGAGATTTGTTGCTTTCAAATATTACGCCAACATAGTCTGGTGATGTTTTCTTCTTTGTAGTTAGTATCGTGAACTGACAGAAACTCCTGTCAACATCATCACAATTATATCAGGGAAAAGTTAAAGCAGTAGTTGAAAACACAGTAAATACTTACTTGCATTAATGGCAGGCTCCAGAAGAGTAGAATTTGCTTTTGAGAATGTTGTGTTAGTAGATATTCTGACTACCTGTGAGGTTTGAACATTATATAAAATAAAGACCTGTATTTGACAATGAATGTCCTTTATGTTGTAAATGATTTGCATGAAGACGCTTCATACTCCCAGTACACTGCTTAAATAAGCAAAAGTAAATAATTCTGCTTTACATTTTAGCTCTGGATGTGTTTTCATTGCTTGCAATTACTCTAATGGTTCCAGTGTTCCTGAGCCTTTCCTCAATCCATTGCTGTCCCATTAGCACTGATATACTCAGAGGGCTTTGCTTCTGCCCATTACAACAAGGGTGCAGAAGCTATATAAATTTTATTTGTTTGAGACAGGCTTTCAGAGTGCAGGCAGGATGCATAGATGTTACTAGTTAAAAAAAAAAAAAAAAAAGTGAGAGGTGAGTAAAGACACAGATTTTCAGAGAAATGGGAGACTGTACTGTTCAGTGAAATGGGGAGGATTCATAGCCGGGATGAAAGCAAAAGGGATCAGAAGGACTGTATGTACTGGCCTGAGTGAATCCCACTGATTTCAGTGGAGTGACTTCTCTTGGCTTCCACTACTTCAATCAAACCTACTGAGTGAATCTATGTAATAATATCAAGTAGAGCTTCACTTGTACTGTGCCATGGGCTGGTCCTTCTTGCTGTAGCCTATTTTCATGTATATCTTCAAGAACTTAATGTTATTTTTCAGTTGGGTTTCAAGTCCTTTAAAATTTCTTTCCCAAATCATAACTTAATATATTCTTGTTGTCTCTTTCCATTCTGTGAAAACTGGTTCACCCTCCAGCATGATATTTTTTGTGTATATTGTTCCTTCATGCATTGCACAGAATATATGGAAATGCAGAGTAATCCTTACTATAACATTCAGTTTCTTGGCTTATGTAATAGTTAGGATTGATTATATTCAGAAGTATACTTGTAATCTTGCAATGTTTTAATTTTCTTTGTTGTAAGGTGGACATGCGTTCTGAGTAGCTTGATGCACCTTGCAAATGTCTGTTGCTCTAAGTTTTCTGTTCATCAACGCAAGTGAAACATTAGTTGTATTGTGCAGTGGTTAAGGTGTATCCAGAGTACACAGATATGCCAAAAAGGGGAATAGTTGTTGGGGAAAAAAAAAATTGTATTTTGCTTTTCAGTTCTGTGCAGATGTGTTTTAAATTTGTGTCTACACAGTGCGCATATGCAAGCCTTCTCACAGTTTCTTCAGTTTTTCAGTAATTTAGCCTGTGAGTCTGTGTGGAGGAACTGTATGTAAGCTCTGAGTAATAGTCTCGATCAGTGACTCTGGCAGTGGTCACTTGACATTTGAAAAATAATGCAAGGAACAAATCATAATGTTAAGAAAAATAATTTATCCATAATATTTAAAAAAATGCTTATGAATTTAAGAAGTGTTAACTCCTTATGAATACTTCTGGAAATCTATACTATAATCTGTATGTACAAAAAGTAGATATAATTAGGTTATTTGTTCAAAAGAACTTTATTGCATTTAAAACAGTAATACATATGCTAGATGAGTGCACATAAATATACATTACTGGAAGAGTGCATTAACAAGTTCTAAAGGTGGGGATTGCAAAGACACTCTTTCAAGATGGTCAGTTAATTGAAACATAACTTCTGCAACTTATTCATTCTGAATCTTTGTGGGTAGCGTTATTTTTGTGAGCAGCTCTGCTTTCTGATCCAGTGACATGGATCTGTAGAAACTACTGAAAAGATTTACAGAAAGATTCAAAGGTTAGGAAACAATTTGAAAGCTTCTGTATTTTTCTTATCAGCTTGACTTTTCTTTAACTTGTGCCATACTAACTTCACAAGCCAAGTGAAGTGTTGAAGAGCTGCTGGATTTGCATTTACTTGAAGGTGTATGTGCTTAGGCACATCTGTACAGTATAGCATTATAGCCTTTGTGTGATCTGGTATGCAATCTTATACAGAAATAAATTATGTTATAATGTCATCAGAAATTAACTTAGCCGTATCAACTTACCAGTGTATCTAGACAATTTTGGTAGAAAGAAATACAAGTAAACATGTATGTTCTAATTCACTTTAATTAAAAAATGCGATTCCTTGTTTGACTTTGGAATATATAGATTTAATTTATATTTATTGTTCTCTTTGCTTCACATCACTTTGCTCCTCTGTGCTCTGCTTTGCTTCACTTCACTCTACCCATTTTTTCTTTGAAACACATTCCATGTGTTTTTACTTCACCTACCCAGCCCAGAGGATATCTTGAGTCCTCTGCACTGTTGCCAATCAGGAAGATAACTGGTTTTGTTAAGTAAATAAAAGTGGCCAGATCAAAATTCAATATGGAGTGCTACTCCCCACAAAATCCCCCTATCATAGTTAACAACTTATTAATTGTTCCATCTGCAAGTTTCACTTGTACTGAACATTACATCTAGTGAGTTGTATTGGAAGTGCTTAAAATGTGAAAGACAACTTGCAATGGTACAGAAGCTTAATTCTGTTTTTTTAAATGAGGACATCATCTATGGAGTCAAGTCATCATACCAGGATATGCTGTTTAGAAATACTTTCACACACAGTGAGGCCTTAGGAGGATGTAAGAGTACTCAATAGCTGAGCTCTTCCTCTGCATCTATTATTAGTCCATATCATCCCTGAAGAAATAGGGTTGTAGTTATATAGGGTTGTATTTATATAGGGTTAGGATGACTTACACTACCAAAAAAAAAAACCCAAAACCCCACAACAAAGGAATTATGAAACAGAAGGAGTTTCTTAAAAAAACCCAAAACATTTCTGAACACTTTCATCTTTATTTTTTGAGAAAGCAATTATTGATAAAAAAAAGTAAATGATGGACAGAGGGAATACTGGTTTTGAAATTGATCTCTTGCTTGTGATCAGGTTGCTGTAAGCACACAAGTCCACAAGTCACTGCATTTCTTAGGGCAGTTACCACAATTGTAACAGCTTGTCAGAATTTGAGTTTAGGGTGACACACATAGTCAGGGTCGAGGTCATACACAGTTACTATGCTCATCTGGAAAGGCAGCTTGTTAAACTAGGATGAGCAGATTGTGAACTTGATTGCTTTATATGCAGTAGATTTTGCTTTCTTTCTTCCCAGGCCATCTAAACCAGGAATGCAGGAAAAGGCATCTTCTTTCCAAATTCTGTTTTTTTTTTTTTTAAATAAAGATAGGTTATAGGAAGTGAGATAAGCCTGGTTGCTGGAGTCAATAAAGAAAAGTCTTCTGGATTGTATATCCTGTGTATCCTGCATTAGAGATGCAGCAATCTCACCCAACATGTGTGTTTTTTTTCTTAAAATTAGAAGTTGAAAATTCAACACTTCAGGATGCATTTGAATGTAACAGTTTTTTCTTCAATTTAGTATCAACTTCATCATCTGCTTTATATTTGGATATGATGAGCCCTATTTGACTTGTGTCGCTGTCTACATTAATTAGACATAATTATACATTAATTAGAATGTGATACTGATGTCTTAACTGAAAACAAAACAAATCCAACAAACAGTTTTATAGCGGCAGTCTTAAGAACCAATATGTGCATATACAAAGAACGTAGTGAGTAGTTGTCTTAGCAGGATAACAGACCTCTATTTGAAGTAGTGGATCTTGTTTTGGTTTGTATAACTTTATATAAACTGGCATAATTTTCAGTCAACTTCCCTTTCCTTTTGGGCGTATGATTTTGAAGAGGATTTTTTGTCTCTCAATGCAGTAGTTTTTTGGGTTTTTTTAGAAATACTGTTCTGTCTCTAGATTGGTATCACAGATATCCTAATATTGCAGAAATATCTACTAGCAATTAAAGTCCCTCCTTTCCTCTTTATTTTCCTTCGTCTCTTTCCCTTTCTCTCTTTTCATTTCTCTTTTTCTTATATACAATTCTGAAATCCATACCACCAACATTTAGGCAGCTACTTAATTAAATATCTTTCTAACCTCTTTACTTGTGCCAAAAGTTCTAATATTATCTTTTGGAACTTGATTTAATCTGGAGCTCTGCCTGAGTACTTCATTATTTCTAACAGTATTTTTGTTAGACAGCGTTGTAGCAGAAGGCAGTTGTCAGTCAGTGTGCAAATAACATCATATGATCAAAACATAATTTTTAACAGGGCATTTTGAAAAGTGATGTATTTTAAGTGTGGTTATATTTTGTTTGCATAGAAATCTTGGCAGGTGATTTACACATTGTGTTAAATGAGCAAGTGGAACACGGGGCCTGTAATGAAGAAAGGTCTTTCCACAGCATCTGTTTTATAAGGTCACAGTCCAGCTGGCATCTGACTAGTCTCAGTATTTGCCATGATGAGCAATGGGAATGAAAGTTGCAGATTCAAAGGAAGCCTTAGGTATTGGAAATTTGCATGTTTCGTAGTATGTTTACCAGCTGGATCATTTTTCTTCTGAGGTTATGGCTATATTAAGAGTTTAAAATATAGGCTTTGATGAAAGTTTCCATGTGTGTTGTAAATGTAATTTAACCATTCAAGCAGTATTTTAATTTTCTTGATCAAGAGAGATGATCATTTTATATTTTAAAATGCTGAAATATCACCTATC